CCCACACGGGGCAGGGCCACTGTGTGTGGAGCTTCTGCCCTCCAGGGCCATAAACTAAAGAAACTTCTTTTCTTTATAAGATTCCCAGACTCAGGTATTTTGTTATTTCAACCCAAAATAGACTTAGAGTCACTAATTAATGGTACTTGTGGAAAGTAAGGGGAGTTGACGCTGGAAATACTGCTGAGCAGAGGAATTTTTATCCTAATAGCATCTTGTAGATATCAGCTTACTAGATATCTGTTTAATACTTTTGTGTGACAGCTGTGTGAACACTGAGGGTGTGAGGCCTGGGTATTTGAACAAAGCCAGTTTAATGTAGGGGAAAAGAGAGAAGGCAGAATATAAGGCACTGGTTTCCAGAGATGCAGAGACCCAGCTGGCTGTTTTTCCAATTGTGTTGAATGTGGGGAAAGGAGGAGTCTTAGTTTCTCATTAGGCAGCTACATAGGAGGTGCTGTCCTTCAATTCACTGGAGAATTCAAGAAGAGAACAGGGGAAAGTCACAGTGGTGATAATGAGAGGCGAGTCAGCTGTAAACACTAGCAGGTGAGGTTCCTGCAGATTGTAGTGTAGAGATGGTGGACAAGTGATTCGACTCAGAGTGAAGGCCTGGGCTGGAGACGGTTGAAGCTCTGGGCCAGCGGGAGTGTAAGGAAGGCAAGGCCTGTCTGCCTGAGTGGGGAAAGAGGACCCTGCAAAGCAGACAGAAGACGCCACCAAAGAATTCAGACGCAAGCTGAGAGAAATGAGATCGTAGGAAGTGAAAGGCGGAGAATTATGATTGCCATCCGGTGGTCTCCGAAGACACTGAGTGGAAGCACACAGACAGGGGTGCTTTGTGCTTGGCAGGTAGGGAGGAAGTGCATGGGGTTCAGCACGTTCAGCCAGTGAGTGCAGGGTGTCTGAGATGCCCAGGGACAGATCGAGGGTGATGGAGCGGAAAACACAGGAGGATGCTGTGGACCTCGGCAGCCAAAGGCACATTAGGTGGAGTAGGACGAGGAGTGAACAGAAGAGAAGGTTGTTGGTGTAAGAAGGGAAACACTTGTGTGATCTGTCTGGTGACAGGATGCGAGGGAAAGTGTGGCAGGAGGGCAGGGAAGAACCCAGGTTCCAGCAGAAGAGCTTCTTTGGAAGGTCCCATCACTGAAGAAGACAAGGAGGTGGGAGAAATTGGCATAGATGGAAATGCACTGTAAGGATGAAGGTTTGCAGAGTTTAAGAGACTGGGGGAGTTTGTAGCTTTTAAAGGCGTCTTGCCTCTTAGGTAGGAGGCATTTCATTTGGTTGGGTAAGGGTGAAAGTTAACAGTTTCCTACACAAGTACTGAGATTGTATTACATAACTGTAATTTGTCAGTCTGCTAAATAGAGGTAACGCAGAGCTGTCTTTGAGCAGATCTCCATAGTCCTGCTTCTGGAAAGAGTGTTAAAGGAGGCCGGGGACTCAGCTCAGTGGTGCCACTGCCTGCCTGCAAGCACCAGGTCCTGAGTTTGATCCCCAGTGCTCCCCTACCCCAAAAAGAGTCTTAAAGGAAATTAAGGACTTTAAAATCCGTACTATGCTTGAAAACACCTAAGTTATATAGCTATTTCATGCTTCTGTTCACATCTTAGTTTCTTCAGCCAGAGACCCACAGTTGGAGAGAGAGAGAGAGAGAGAGAGAGAGAGAGAGAGAGAGAGAGAGAGAGAGACTATGAATATGAATTCTTATAAGGGAGCAAGACTGGCCCCTTCCAGGCCCCTGGTACCCTCTCTTGCCATGTGATCTCTCAGTGCACTGCCACCATTGTGATACCACCTGGCATGAACCCCACAAGAGGTGAGAAGAAGCTGGCATTGTACCCTTGAACCTGAGAACTGTGAATTTTGAATAATAATCTGCTTTCTATATAAACTACCCAGCCTTAAGTATTTTGTTGTAATAACAGAAAAGGAACTAATATGTAGTATTTCAGTACCTTAAGACTCATGAGCATTTCGTTTGTGTCAGTAGCATAAGATGCATTGGCATCTGGACAACTTGTTATGTCGCTGGCAGATGAACAGAAAACAAGATTGTTTCTTTGACCAAGGTAGAACGTGGGTCGTGGTGGTGGGGCAGAGAGGAGCTATTCCTAAGATTGAGTGAACAGAACTTGGTGTTGGAAGAGTGAAGGACAATGCCTAGTTTTTACTGAGGAGGAAATGATGCTCCTCACCAGGTTGGGAAGAAGGAAAGAAGTTGGCAGGGAGGAACAAATTGCAAGCAGCAATTTATACAATAGCAGGAGTCTGGGTGGGTTTGCATGGCTGCCTCTGATCAATGTGTGTGCCTGGTATCTGACAGAATGTTCCTTAGTCCCATCCACATGCATTCATTGCTCTGGACCTCGGCAGCCAGAGGCACATTAGGTGGAGTAGGACGAGGAGTGAACAGAAGGGAAGCTCGGCGTAAGGTGGGAAACACTTGTGTGATCTGTCTGGTGACAGGATGCGAGGGAAAGCCTGGCACCCCAAGTTCTCTTGTCATAGTCTGTCCAGGTAGGCGCGTGTCTATAAGTGATAACATTACCACCAGAAGATTGTTCAGTCTGGGCAGGGACGTAAGGGGGGCTGAGGAGGTGTCTTAATGGCCACCGTCGTCAAGGTCTTACATCTGTGTTTTAGTGACTTACGTGCCCGGTACCTGTACAGAAATACAAGACCGATCCATGGGCCAGGTTGGTTCTGAACCTGAGTGCTGAAATGCTGGGCGCCAGGACTGCCAGTGTGGATTCCGTATGGTGTCAGCACCCAGCCTGAGGGTCGGTGCCTCATGGCTCCTGCGGTGGTGCTGGAAGAGTCTGGACTTCGCAGATGAGAGGGTGTGTGTCAGCCAGTGCAGTGCAGGGCGGGCGGGGACTCTGGTGTTGGGGCTCAAAACTTGGCCAAATTTTTATCCAGCTGGTCTACAACAATAGAAACATAATGAAGGCACGAGGAGAAAGGGGGAAGGAATGAAAATGTATTTGTAACTGCACTTAGCAAATGAAGAGGTTTTCTTTTTCAGATTTTATTTTCATTAGTACCTGATTGCGGTTGGTGATAATTACATTCTCGTGGGGAACTGGTACAGGTATATAACACTTCTCAATTCCTTTTTCATCCCCTTCCCTTCCTCTTCCATCCATGGGTCCCCCTGTTTCTTACCTTTTATTTTGTTCATTATTTATATTTTGGGTTTATACGATAGAAGAGGGTTTGTTTTTTTTTAACCTATTTTTTCTCATCCTGAACCTGTGTAAGGAAACAAAATGGAGCTAAACTTAAAAAGCAGTGCTTCTTTCTGATGGATATATAAACTGTGTAGGCATCAAGGGACTCTGCTCTGTTAAATTTGCTCTTAGTTTGTTTTTACCATTTTTTCTCTTTTCCTTCAGCTGACTGATTTCTCCCTGCCCTTTCAGAAAAATTTCTTTCTCTTGTTAAGATTCCTTTAGTCTTCCAGTTAATATTTTGGATCAGAACATATAACTAAATTTTTATCATATGTGAAAATAGGAAGAGCTTTTTTGTGTGATAGTTGCTTTCTCTGTAAAATGAAAGCAAAAGAATTGTTTGCTTTTGTCCATGAAATGCCTACATATGGTGCATAATTCTATTTTATTAAATCGACCCCTATTTTCAAAATTACGTTCCATTTTCTCCGATGATCATACTATTGAAAATGATTTAAATGAACCTATAAAGACTGGAAAAACCTAGATGATGGGGGTGGAGCTAGATTTCAGTTTTGTGGTACCAAAGTAGTGTTAAAGCTTATGATTGGTTCCCTAGTTATCCTGAGTCCTCCTATAAACAAAAGGCGTTGCTTTTCAGTTTATATCCTTTTTACATGCTTCATTTGTTACTGAATTCTTGTGCCTTTGGGAGTTTCTAAAGTTCTCCATTAATCAGAATTTTAAGAACATTATGATAATAATTAAATATAATATTGATTATTAATAGGTTTTCCTTGGGAATTCCCTTTCATTATTTTTGTTGTAAGCATTCATAATATACAAAATTTACTATATTAAGAGTATTTGTAATTGACATGTGAAAAAAATAATGGATTCTTTCTTAGTTGTATCTGGGAGAAAATGTTAGCATATAACCCTCTTATTGCTAGAAAGTGAAGACTGCAAGAATTGAGTTTGACTTTTGAGTTTCTTCAAAGAAAATTTTGGTATCTTAACATACAATCTTGAAAATATTGGAACTCAAAAATTAGTAAACATTGAACTAATTGGCTAATAAAATGGATTTATATTCCTAAAGCAAAAAAAAAAAAAAATGCCTGTGGAATGTTTCTTTTAGCTGTCAAAGCTTTTTCTTCACTTCTGTGGCACTTCATTAATTGAATAAGTAATCTCATAACAGTCTAATTTAGTCAGCTCTGGGAAGTTTGATTAGGACTGAAATATATTTTCAGAAGGAAGTAACATTAAAATTTGTTTACATGACTATTTTTGATATAATTATTTCTAGAAGAATAAGATGTTTAAAAATTAATTAATGGACTTTTGGAATTAAGAAGTACTTTAGAATTCTGCTGGTTCTGGTATTTCATTTTATGGCTAATGATGCAGAGAGTCAAAAGCATGGAGAATGGGCTAGGGATGTCGGCTGCTCCTGCCTCACAAGCACGAGGTCCTGAGTTCAAGCCCTGGTACTGGTGCGGGGGAAGAGGTGTGGAGAAATGAGTTATCCCAGCTGACACATTTGGTTAAGATAAAACCCAGATCTCAGTGTGAGTTCCTCATTGAGTGCTTTCCGCCCTGTAATCTATGTTCTCTGAAAAAAAAGAAAAAACCAGTAGGTCCTATTTAAAATAAAAGGAGATGGTGAATGTCAGAGGAAAAGGGCAGAATAGTTCCCCTGTCTAAAATCTAGCTTTGGGAGCTCACTCAGTGGGTTTCCAGCAGCTGCTCTTCAGACAGAACGCATTTGTGGTGGGGATATTTGTGCTAATAAAATCAATTTGTATTTTGTAGGTGAGAGTTATGTGTGTGCATCCAACGAGCCATTTCGTAAAGTTGATTACACCAAAAATATTAACCCGAACTGGTCCGTGAACATCAAGGGTGGAACAAGTCGAGCTTTGGCCCCGGCCTCCGTGAAAAGTGAAGTCAAAGAAAGTAAAGATTTCATCAAACCCAAGTTAGTGACTGTGATTCGAAGTGGAGTGAAGCCTAGAAAAGCTGTACGGATCCTTCTGAATAAAAAGACTGCTCATTCCTTTGAGCAGGTCCTAACAGATATCACCGAAGCCATTAAGCTCGACTCGGGAGTGGTCAAGAGGCTATGCACCCTGGATGGAAAGCAGGTAAGGGCTTCCGCCACTGGCTCTGGCTGCTTTCAAACACCAGGCCACCAGTTCTGCAGCCAACTGCTGGCAGTGGTAGGGTGCTGTCAAGAATGCTGCTCTTCCAGTTTGGGAGGACAGAGAGGGAGAGAGGACAGAGAATGGATGTCTTTATCATGAAAAATGTAGATGTATTCCATGTCTCCAAATACCTCAAAAGGGCGCAGAGAAATGTCCATCATATACCTTGAATTGTTGAAGGGAAAATGTACATTTCTGCAGGAAAAATGTTAAATTGCAGAGGAATCCTATGTTAGGTGAGATGTTTGTTTAAGATTAAGACTGTTGTTGGTAAGTCAAGTTTTTATTGGCTTGGGTATCCCAGAAGTCAAAATGAAAGGACTTTTCATATAAAAATGATTGAAAGACACATGGCTTCTAACGTGTATTTTTCTCCAGTTTCCATAAAGTTAAATTGTTTATATTTGCATTGTGTGAACACAGTGTGTGATACTAGTTTCTTCATTCCATTTTGTTTCTTCCCCCTCACATAATTTATTTATAAATATTTGGCTCTTGTGTCACTGAGAACAAATAACGTGAAATGCTGGAGCAGTGTCTTACAGAAAAACCCAAAGTAGTTCCTAATTTCCAAGACCAGACCAAGTCACTAGGGTGTTTCCTGCAGCATTAGCAACATTTTAAAAAAAACAGGTTCTGGAGACTAGTGTGTAGCTAGCTGAGTGTAGAGTGTCCTTAGTATATCTAAGGACTTGGTTTGGTCCCTAGCACCAAAGATAAATATATAAAGAAAAGTCAAGCTTTGAAGATTACAGTAGAATATGGTAAGATTAGCATGTTCAAGTTAGTGAATGACTAAAAGGGACATAATGCTTAGCAGCATGCTTCAAAATAGATTGACAGTATTAATGATAATAGACACTTTGTATAATGAAGTTAATAGCCCAGTGTAAGGCAAAACACCCCTAAGATTGACTTTACGTGTAAATAAAAGTAGATTAGGCCACAAGAAAGAGATATGGAAATTTTTAATTTTTATTATTTTGTATTTGCAGTGCACATGGTTTCTTATGGTGAGTTGGTACATGTATGTAACGCATCTTAATTCTTTTTATCTCTTCCTCTGGAAAATTAGATAGTTGTTTCTTGGTGAGCACAGGAAAGACAGGAAGTGTAGACACAAATATTTAAGATACCTAACTGGAAGAAAAACCTAAATATGCCTAACTAGAAAAAATGACAAACAGTAATTGAAGATGAGATTTTTAATAATGAGACCTCACATTTGGAAATCAAATAAGTGACATTCAGTGAAGATACTAAGTGAAATAAGGAAGGTGAACATTTAGTTAAAATAGTAACTATTGAAATTTTAATAGTTACCTAAGAAACTCTCTTCAAAAATACTTCAGACTAGAAATATAAAAATGTTAAGTAAGTACGAGCAACTCAGATCCTCATCATAATCAGAATAATGCAGTGTGATGAGCAGGGTGTGCGCAGAAATTAAAGGATCGCAGACTCTTAAACTCCTGTGTAAGTCAGAGCTTTAGGATAAAGCATAAAAGCACACATATGTAATCGCAGAGAGATGTTGCAGAGACATTGGACAAAATACAAAATCTGTGTTCAGTCGCAGACTTAGTATTAAGCTGGGTGAGGTGGTTGATGCCTTCTAATCTCACCAGGGAAGGAGGACCAGGCAAGAGGGTCGCAAGTTTGAGTCCTGCCAGGGCAGCTTGTCGAGCTCATTCTCAAAATAAAAATAAAAAGGGCTGGAGATGCAGCTCAATTTTAGAGAGCCCCTGGCTTTAATTCCCCCTACACAAAAAGATTTACTATTAAAAATTGAAAATGATTTCTCTTTATACACTAAACATTTTCCTGCCTGAAACAAAAGCCCAAAATATTACTGAAGAAATGCAGTCTTGGAAGGATTTCAATGGTGATCAAGCCCAAGATAAAACCCAATGGCATCAGTATTCCAACATTCTTCCGTAAATTATTCCTGATTTTTATTTATAGTTTAATGTAGTTTGAGAAAGACGCTAAGTGAGATTTGGGGACAAGGAGTATGGTACCTGACAAAGTGATTTTAGAAGTTAATCCGGAGAAATAGGCAGAAAGTTTTGAAAATAGTGATTAATGGGCAGTCATCCTCCTCATACCAAAAATAAATTCCAGGTGTTTCAAAAATATAGATGTCAAAGTGTAGCAGAAACACTTTATTGAGAAAAAATGTCAATATTATGATGAAATGGAAAATAATTTTCTCAGCATCAAAGTAATGGGGGAATCACAAAGGGTAAGGTTGATTGGTTGGACAATTTAAAAATTAAAAATTTCTGGATGTCAATGCAGGGATTTTTAGCTTGAGTTGTATTTTAATGTGAAACAGATAAATGCTGTACTAGAATGTATAAAAGTATAAACAGACAATTTGAAAAGAATTAATATTATTATTTTGGTACTGGGGATCGAACTCGGGTCCCAATTCTTGCGAGGCAGGTAGCAGAACCACTTAGCCAAATCCCCAGCACTTGAAAAGGATTATAAATAGCAAACATTAAAACACGTTCTGGGCTCCAGGGTCGTCTTAGAGTATTCAGCACATGTGAGACCTTAACACCATAAGAAAACACGAAAACCAAATCCAGTTTCACAAATAAAAACGTGAAGTGAAGGTGGTGAGGTAATAGGGGGTCCTAGTGGTGCATGTACTGAGGGGCTGAGGCAGGAGAATCACAAGTTCAATCCTGAACAACTGAGCGAGTTAGTGAGAACTTATCTCCAAAGAAGGTGGTGAGATGGTATTTTTAATATTTAAAGTGGACAGGTTTCTAAAGAAGAAAATGTCCACTGTTTTTGAATATTGAGTGATTTGGCATTATCAAATTGTGATGGAAGTATAAAATCTGAAAGCTTTACGGAAAGTGGTTTGAACCTCTAGATCAGTTTTGGGAATTTATCTTCAATATCCTGAGAGGCAAACATATTATGCATAAGAATTCTCATCCCAGTATAAAAGCCAAAGATTTGAAACAGTCTAGGATGACTGTATAAGGGAATAGTTAAATGATATCTCCATGGAATTCATATTGAGTAGCCTCTGAAAATTATGTTTTGGGGTCTGTTTAAAGACCTGAGGAAATGTCAAATGGAAAAAGCAAGAAACAAAACTAGTATGGTTTCAATTTTGTGTTATAGAAAAGTGGAGGGAGAAGAATTTTTTTATAAAACAAATTCAGAAAGAAACAAAATTAGAGTTGCCATCAGAAATCAAATGTTTGATGCTCTGATTACCACCGTCTTCTTCGTGAAGATCAAAAATGACATGAGTCAATTATTAAAATTTTGATTTGTGGATGTAAAGTGTTACAGATATCACTTTGGTCATTGTTTACTCCTTAAGAATTTAAGTATTATTTTCCTTGTGCCAAGAAAAATGATGTTATTAAATAGAATTTTGGGGAAGAAATTATAGATTTCAGGGGTGTGTGCGTGCGTGGGTGCATGTGTGCGTGTGTGTGTGTGTGGTAGTTACTGTAGGCAAGTGCACTGAGCCGTGCCCTAGGGCCTTTTCAGTGAGCCATGTCCCCAGCCCTTTCTTAAATTTTTTCCACGGTGGGAGATCAAATTTGGTAGTATTTTTGCCTCATCCTCCCAGAGTGGGGATTTGGGGTGTGCCACCACACCCAGCTCAGATTTGGTTTTTATAGACACAATTTTGGACCCTCCATTTTCAGAGTGCCAAGCTTTTTTAAAAGCTATAGTTTTCTTGATGTTGACTCAATATTCTTCTATTGGTAGTGTTGTTGTTTTTCAAACTCTTAGTCTGCTTTTGGTTGACAATTATCATTAGAAAGATAACATTAAGTTTTGCTTAAAATAACAGAAATTGTTTAGGATTAATGCAAGCCTTTAAATGGATAGTGTTCATTTTGATTCTTTTTTATGGAAGGATTTTTTTCTGCTGGCCTGTTAACCATCTGCTCTCTTTTCATTAAGAAAAGGACGGCTGTCCTTTGGTGAAGAGAAAGAAATGAAAAAGGAACTGAGATCTGTTAATGAGCTATCCCTATACAACATTTTACACTGCCGTATTTTTTTTTTTTCTTTTAGTACTGGGGATTTGACCTGGAGCCTTTACACTGAGCTGCATCCCCAGCCGCTTTTCTTTGTGTTTTATTTTGAGACAGGATCTCACTAAGTTGCTAATTTGTACACTGATTAAAGTTCACATTATTTTTCTGGTTACTTCCTTTTGGGATTTGTTTTCATTTAAGATTAATCCAGTCTTTAATGCAGGGTAAAGATTAACTGTCTTTTAGGCAGTGCAGTCACTGAACCTGTCCTGCTGTCTTAAGGAAGAGTTTTTAAGGGCCCCTGGTTTTTCTCTCTGGGCCTGAAAACATTTGGGATTAAAGATGTGATAGAGTGTCATGTACCAGAGATGTTTGTTGTTAAAATGGGGAGCATATATCTTTTCTTGGCTTTAAAATGGGTGTACTACTATTTTTTTTTCTTTTTTCTTTTTTTTTTTTTTTTTGTAGCAGGGATTGAACTGGGTACCTTGGGCTTGCAAGGCAGGCAGCAGAACCACTGAGCTAAAGCCCCAGCCCCTGGGTGTACTACTGTTGACGTTACTTAGAAGGTCTGACTTGGTCATAATTAACTCCTATATTTTAACTCTTTATAAAATCGCTTCAAATGAGATCCTATTTTAGGATTTTATCTGTGCTAATGCTTAGGTTTTCTTTTGCTTTAGTGATTCTCAACTAGGGGCCACCTGCTGGCATCTGGCGGGTAGAGAGTGAAATGTTGCTGCAGAGGACAGGAAAGCCACAGCGTGATTCTCTGTGGGCCCAGGTATTAGTAATGCTGAGGTTCAGAAATCCTGAGCAAGGCAGTGGTTCAGAAGGAAATGCTGTTTGAGTGTGGGCTTTGTTTTTAGACTCCATGCTAAACTTTTGTTTCAGAATTGAAGACACTCAGAACCT